GTGGGTACAACACGGGTTTTTCTACCTCTTAGTTGGAGCCAAGACTGAAGGGCATGTGCTCAGGAGTGTGAGGCCTCTGTCTCTGTATTGCCTTTGAGATTTCACGTTCAGTGAAAATCGACAGATTGCTAATGAGATAAGTGCCTGATGGGGGAGAAAATAATATGTAACTGCATGCTAAAGACTGTATCATACTGGGAGCAGCATCCTAAATGTGTTCACTGATTATCAGCAGTACAAACTAATATTCACTGTTGCATGAACTGCTTCACCTGGACCAAAAAAAAAAAAGAGCTGATTTTTTTTTCTTCATGTTCTACATTAAATCATCTTGTCTGCTATGGCATTACTGCTCTTAGGATTGGGGAAAACATGCTGTTATTTAGTAATTGGGTTTTACCACTGAGGATTCTTGTTCTTACTGCAAATTTCATGAAACCTGGCACTTTTGAGTACCTTCTTGCTGTCTTCAGCATCCTTTTCTAATCTTCTTTTCCTCATACCAATCAATAGATGGAACAGTCTTTTTGCCTTGCAAATAGCTTTATTTTAGCTGTGTATTTTGACTTTGCACTTAAGTAGGATTGGCTTTAAACAATAAAGCCAATTAATTCTTTCTTTAATTCTGGATTAATAATTTTTGATCACTTAAACTATTTTTTTTATTGTTTTCACTTTTATCCACTTTTCCCCTCATGCATAAGTCCCCCAAAACAACGGAATGCTTTGAAATAAGAAGCACATAAGTTTTTCTTTTGAGTTTTCTAAGAATTACTATTTGGTCATATTAATTTACCTGGACTAAGTGCAATCCATTCATAATCCCAGCAGGTTGCATATGCAACCAATGGTTTCTAGTCCTGGTAATTTATGGGTTTTTAAATTTATCATCCTGAGACTTGAACCTCTGTCTTGCAGTGCCATCCATGCCTGCAGATGAACTGGTTTAGAACTGCCTTTATTAGATTCCCAGTAGATGCCTGTTCTAAAATAAATAAATATTTTAATATATTAAATGGATATTTCCAGAAAAACTGGTCCTATTTTCTACTTTGATTTTGATCACTTACTGGCGATCTTCCAGGACTCTGAGAGAAATCCCTGATTCATACAATCTGAAACTTTCATTGTAACGTCTGAATTGTAAGGTCATCTTTCCTTCCTTTTCCTTCATTTTTCTCTTGTTATCCTTTCCTGCTGTTTCCAAACTCACAATACAAATGATGACTTTAATTTTTCTTGCTGTGTTTAACTTCTCCTTTCTTTCTCAGATCTAAAATCTAAAGTAAAAATCAAACAAGCCTATTTAATTGTTTCCCAGCACTGCAAACATGATGATGCACGGTGAATAACAGTGGGGGTATGGGATAATAGATGAATTTGTCAGGTGGATTTATAGTGGGAAGTTATCCATAGGGCAACCATTGCCCTTTAAATTTTAAAGCCTCCAATAAATGTTTAATTAGTAGATACTTGGAATGATGTCAGACCTGCTTTTGCTGTACTGGAGGTGCTGTCCTCAGGGTCAGCGGACTGGAGTGTGCAAGTGTTCTTCAAGATGCCCCTGCAAAATCCAGCCCTTTGGCTTAAGCTGCTGTGGGAGCTGGTTTTGAAGACCTTTCTCTGGTCTCACTAATGGATGTTCACCTGTTTCTGTTCCATTCACCACTGCCAGCTGGGGAGGTTACAATGTCTTAAACTGCTACAGCTGTTTACTACTTAATGCATGTCTGTGCCCAAGGTCTTTTGCCAGTAGCCTGCAAGGAATTCATACAATCTAAAGAGTAATGGATCTGTCTTTCAATGCAAGGCTGAATTTACGTTTCATTAAATATCATGGAAGCTGTCTTTGATATTTTCTGACTTTTGAATGATTAAGCAGAAATCAGCTCATGTTCTGCCTACATTGTTGATGCAGACTGCAAAGGGTGCTTAAAAGGAGAGTGTCCATCCTCCTCTTCCCCAAGAGAGGATGTTTGATAGATGTTTGCACCCAGAACCCCCACACCCCTATTTTAGCTTCTCTGGAGGATGCTCCTTGTCAGCATGATGCTAGTGGTTTTTGCCCCCCCATCTGCTATATGCATCACTTTGTCTCCCTCTTACTGGAGCAGACTTGGTGGCAGTGTTTGTTTTTTTGCACAGCCTCATGACAGTAGCAAGACCCTTAAAATAGCATCCTTTGGCTATGCACAGACCCTTTCAGGCTTGGCCCAGCCCAGTCTGTATCTGAATTGTAATTGGAGCAACCAGACTAATCTCACCAATAAAATCTGTCAAACAGAAGGCATGACTTTGTCTTTCCTGCCTCTGTCATTACAGCTGTTATGGGGTGGTCAGGCTCCTGACTTAAGGGCATGTTTTTCATGCCTTACATGAAACTCCTCAGATCATGCAGGCGCAGTAGTTCAGATGGAGAAAAGGTGTTTGATTGTTCATTCAGCCAAAAATAAGAGCAAGAGTTACCTTTTTGGGCTTCCCCCTCCATTTGTGTAATGTATCAGAGTTCAAATCTGCTGTGAAATAAAGAAGATACACATGATATTTTACAGAAAATGTAACTTAATTGAATGCCATTGTGTCAGATACAATTATAGTTCCTTGTTTCAGAAACGTTTTTAATTGATTTTGTTTTATCACTTTTTGAGCTGTTCCTCTTATACTGAAATTTCAGTGAACTGTTGGTGCAGTTGCCCTCTGAATTGATGGGCACTATGAAACTTGAAAATGTAGGAGGAAGTTGATTTCAAGAAGAGGAAAGAAGCAAGGATTTCTTCCATTTGACTGGCACCATTCAGAGTAAAACTAACCTTTCAGGAGCACTCAACTTCGATGAAGTGTGATCACAAAAAAGCATCATATACCTTCTAGGCAATTGCCCCTCACTGCTACTTTTCAACATTGTTTCAGTTTGCTAGAATGCCGCTCCAAGGGACAAGAGTTCAAAATGTGTATTTGACAAAATACTCAATGTGCTGAACAGTGCTTCTGCATGCAGACATATGCACTATTGCTGTTTACACAGTTCAGTGGATGTGTATTTTGATAAGTTTACAATATTAGCAGTTACTCCAGGCACCCTGTCTTAACAGTATTTAGGCTGAGCTGCTTAGATAAAATGTTCAGGAGATTTACTACCTATGTGGGGAATTTCTGGTTCTTGGTGTGATATGTGAATTAGTATAGAGCTGGGATTATAAACTACTAAGTAACTGTACCACTGTTATGGATTATTCTTTATCCTTTCCAATTCTGATGGCTTTTACTGAATATATAGCCTGTGGAAGACTTCTCTTCCTCTTGTTTAAATTGCTAGTGAATCTGTTGCATTGGGTTAGAAACTCCCATATTGCCAGATTGTGTTACAGTAATTGGTATCTTTACTTCATCTCAGCCAATGTCCACGCTTCCTTTCTGACCAGGCTGACTGGGCAAAGGGTGTGCCTTGTGTATTTTTGTTCACTGGGTCTAACTGCCTGCATGACTGCCCTACAGTGTCCCTGCACACTTTCCTTTGGAGATGGGGAATGGGGAACTTAAATCATCCAACTTCTGTCCTTCCTCCTCACATTTTAGCTGGAGTTTAATACAGCTAGTTGTTTGCCACTTTGGTGCTTAACTTCGCTTAGATTAACTTGAACTAACTTACCTTCTAATGGTTAGAAAGTAACCTTCTAACCATTGCTAATGTTTAGCTTGTCTTTTACACAGTAGAAGAATAATTTAGGTATTACCTGAGGCAGTTGCTATTGGAGCTGTTAAATAATTTCACAATTATTGAAACTTCTACAACTTGCTAGAACCACCACATTTTTGTAAAAATGCTTCTTTAAAGGATCTTGAGAAGTGTTGGTGGGGTACAAGAATGCAGCAGCTGCTGCTGTGATCTTTTTGCTTCATCCTGACTTTTAAATGCACCCTCCACTTTGGAGACTTTCAGGTCTCTGTTTTCATTAGGTTGGTGCCAAAGCGATGCCACATCAGCAAGTCGATCAATGGCAGTGTACTTGTGGGACAGGAGAGTCTTGCAGTGCCCATGTTTTGGCTTAGTTGGAGGAGGGACAACAGAGGGGCTGTGTGCCATGGCACTGAGGCTGCTGTCAAGGCTGGACTTGGTGTGGGAGAGTGGCTGAGACCAGAGTTTTGTATGTGCAGCAGGGAGCTGCATAACGATTTTGATGAGAAAATGTATAGAATAGCCAGCAGAATGTTTTTTGCATATCTGAAAATGCAATACATGGTGATATCTGTGGATGATGAGTTCTCAATTTTGATGGGAAAATGTATAAAATAGCCAGCAGAATGTTTTTTTTGCATATCTGAAAATGCAATACATGGTGATATCTGTGGATGATGAGTTCTCATTGAGATTGTAGAGCTTAGAGGTCCTTCAAAATGGACGGACTGCTGCTCTGACTCAGAGAACAAGGCATCTGATGTGTTGGTGATGCAAAGAGAAAAGTGTGTGGGTGGAGGAGTGTAAGATTGACAAGGGGGTTAAGAAAAATTCTGTAAAATAATCTATATCTTAGACTTTGTGCTTCACTGCAGGTACTGAAAATCTGAGTTCTTGTGGAGCACGTATGGCATCCTTTATGCAAGGGAGATCTTCCTCAGTGTTACCAAGAAAAGCAGTCCAATCAAAAATGCTTTCAAAACAATTTTGTGGCTTGCTGCAGTTGTTATTTACTTCCTTTTCCATCTCCTTTTTTTTTTCTTCATCCTTTTGCCCAGTACTGTGAGAGTAGCATGACTTGTTCTGCTGGCCATGAGTTAGTAGCACGTCCTGGCTGGGAGCAAAGGATTTCTTAAGAACTGTCACCTTCTGTGAGGCTGGGGCTTGGCCTGATGCTGGCCTGGGAGCAAGGAATCAAGCCACCATCCCCTATTGATTTCCTTGTCTGGCCCCAGGAAGAGGGGTTTGTGTGCTATCACTAGGCTGCTTTTGGGGTTAGTTAAAAGATAGCTCTATGGACTAAGTGGGTGTTCTTGCATTTCAGGAAGAAGAAATGCCAGAGGTAGAAATTGACATTGATGACCTTCTTGATGCAGCCAATGAAGAGGAGAGAGCTCTCAAATTACAGGTAATATTATTTTGTAATTCTAAATCGGAAGGTGGCTGAAGTAATGCATCTGGAGCAATACCTTGTGTTTAATTGAATCCACGTAAACGTAGAATTACAATGGAGAGATTCCTCAATCCAGTCTAACATAGTCTACCAGACTGTTCAAAGTTAACCAAAATCCTTTTAGATAAAAAATTTTTGCAAGGTAGGTGATAAGCCTAGTAAATAAAAAGGGAAATATGCTAAGCCAAATTAGCCTCATTCAAATTTGTACAATTATATAAAATAGAGAAAACATAGGAAAATGAAAAATAACACATGGAAAAAGCTGTATGATTGAGAGTCAGTTATGATGACCAGATAGTTTCTGTGATTCACTTCAGCAGTAGAAATGTGTATACAGACCAGAAATCTTCCCTTGTGCTTAGCCTACTGGCAATTATTTCTGTCTGTGCTAGAAAGAAATTGGAACCCATCAAAAAGTTCAAAGAAAGGGTAAGATGGTCAGGAACAGGAATTAGGAGGGAATTTCAAAAGCTATCTGCTGAAATTAAACAGTTTAAACCCGCTCTCTAAACTTTTGAATCTTGTGTGAGGTAGGAGGTAATGAATGGAAGAAAGAGGGGGAAAAGAAAAGAAATATCATAAATATAAATGCCTTAATAGAAATCTCTCTCTAAATCAATATATAAAACCAATAGGAAATGTCTCCATTTGTAATCTTTTCAGATGCACTAAGAAAAGGAAAATTGTTCTAGAGTCGTGGCTTGCCCTCAGCTTGCTCCTGGGAGGTGACTGATGTGGTGCTCTGATGCAGCACATCTCATTTTAGTGCCTATTAGCACCCTTTTCTCAGTGCCCGCTGGCCAGCCACAGAGACGTGGGGCATGGCCCCAGGCTGATTGCTCAGCGTTCATACATAGCTTTGCTGCTTCTGCCTAAACGAGCTGCAGCAGCCCCCTGCTAGGAATGCCCTGCTGGGAATAACTAACGTCTCTATTTCTGCATTGCAAAGACTCTCATGTCCTCACAGAAAGCTGCCTTTCACATGTCTGTTCCTGGGAGAAATCTTCTTGGATTCTCCTCCTCTTCTCAGTTTTCCTTGGAGACAGGGAGACTTGTAACTTCCTACCTGGAGAAAGAAGCCATTATTTCTCTCCTGGTACAAATCGTTCTGATCCACATAGGGAGCAAAGGTGACTTGTATAACTTTGGGTTTTCAGTAACATCTTCATTCAGTGATTCCTATTCTTGCTTCTTTTCTTTCTCTCCTCCCTTGCCAGGTTTCATACCATGCCTTGTTTATGTTCACTATTACTCTGTATGGATACTGACCTTTTCGTATTTTGCTTCTAGGAAACTCTTGTAGATTGCTACAAACCAACAGAGGTAAAAGACTTTTTAAAAATGCTATTAACCTGTGGAAACTGTACTTAATGTTCAAGCTAAAATAACTTTCTTTTTATTCTTATGATAAAGTAGTTAGATTAATATTAATGGCTATCTAATCTAGCTGATAGACTTGGAGCTTTACGTGCTGAAAATGTTTGTGCCTGTCAGTTGGCTACAGTAGGAATGTGATTGTTCCCTGTGGAGGAACTGTTGTTCATTCCAGCTGAACTATCAGTATTGTTTGCTGTAATGTCCTTCTGACTATACTGACTTTTAACGCTGCTGTGTTACAAGAAAACTAAATATAGTTATCATCCGATGGCTAAAATATTTGCATGTTGGACTGTGCTCTTGGCTGTGAAATAATTTAATTTTATCTAGGACAGTAAAATTTATTCTGAGAACTGTTATGCAGATATGCAGCTTGGCTAATTGTTTATGTGAATGGACTTGAATGAAATTGTTGGATCGCCTGTATTAGCAGGATTTAGTTACTCAGTTTTCAACTTGGGTATCTATTGATGTGTCCAGTGCTTTTCATGTGTGCTTACTAGGAGGAGTAAACATTGTAAAAAAACCCCTTTGACTCATTGTAAAAATCAAAAGTCTAGGTCATGGGTCAGTTGGTTCCATTTATATAGCCAGTTCTTTCCCAGAAGTCAAGAAATGCTGCACAGTATTTAATAGAGGGGTTGGCTTGCAGGATTCCTCTTGTCAGAGACCTTTCAGCTGTGCATGACTAGAAACCAGGTGTTTAGTTTTGAAATAAAGCTTCAAATAGGTTGGTTCTTCTGTAATATCTGCAGCTGTAGCCATATAAACTGGTGGGGCTTAAGGATAGTCAGACTATCAGGAAGAACTGCTGGTATGGTTGAATAAACACTTCACAGTCCATGAGATATTTTCTTCAAGGCTTTTTCATTTCTATTGATTTCTGTGGTAGATTGGGAGGATTCTCTGGAACTGCTGGTGCAAACATTTTGACAGTGTGAGGAATTGACCCGGAAAGGCTCAGGTGATAAACCTGTAGAGTTTGTGTGTTTTATCTCTGTTGCCTTACAGCCGATAGCACACCTCTTCCATTATGGAGATGCCATAATGCCAAGTCTTCACTGTAGTAAATGCTGTCTCACTGTAGTAAATGCAGTAAAAATGACCCTGTCAGCCTTCTCCAGCTTTCTCTAAGCAAGCGCCATTGAACCTTGGTGCTTCTTCTTAAGATAGGTGTGAAGATGGATATGGCATGTGGAGCCTGGCGTGGCTCTTGTCACAGACTAGTAAGAGAAAGCTGGAGTCATGACTAGGTGGGAGGAACAGGCTGCCAAGAGCTTAACACTCAGTCATGTGCTGACCTCTTATCTCTGTGTTATCTGAAGGCAGAGGAAGAAGGCAGAGATCCTATAATTACTTTTCTTCCTTCTTCCTAAACATGCCATATGAATGATTTTTTTTTACCTGTGAAGTTTGACACTACGCAAGGACAAACTTCAGAGAGCTGATAAGGGTACATGACAGATGTCAGTGAGTGTTCCACTGGAAACTTTGGTTGTAGAACTACAGGGAAGATTTGTGCCATACTGGTAAATTAAGTTTCTGTGGCAGTTCTCAGGGAACAACATCCTGGACACATCTATGTCTGCCCTCAAGGCACCTGGATCAAGGTGAGACTTTAGTACTGAACTGGAGACCTGTGTCTTCAGTCCTTTGTGGATGGGATGGAGGCAGCTCCCTTATGTGTGAGAATTTTCATCTTCCTTGGCAATCTTTAGAGATAGCCAAGTTGAGAGGGTACTTAATCCACGCACTCTACGCTAGCTGAAAGGAGGTTGTAGACAGATGGTGTTGGCCTCTTCTCCCAGGAACTAGTGATAGGAGAAGAGGACATAGCCTCAAGCTATGGCAGGGGAGTTTAAGTTAGACATTAGGAACAAATTCTTCACAAAAGGGTTGGTAGATACTGGAATGGGCTGCCCAAGAGATGGTGTAGTCACCACCATGGAGGTGTTCAAGGAAAGGTACTTTGTGCCACGGTCTAGTTGACAAGGTGGTGTTTGGTTGTAGTTTGGACTCAATCTCAGAGGCCTTTTCCAACTTAATTGATTCTGTGAAGATAGTTTCCAAAATGAGGCACATCCCGGGACTGTTTTACAATAGCACTTTTCTTCATCTATGGAATGGTGAGTCCAGTAATACTGCATGACTGCTAGCTTAGGCCACTTAAAAATAGTGATTTTTATCCTGCTGTGGGTGACCTAAAGAGTCTTTTAGTTGGCTTAAACTTGCTATATACGGACCTACACCTTGTCTAGAAAATCTGCAATCTTTTATATTTGCAGGCCATTCAAAACTATTGAGGTAGTTGGCTTGTGGAAGGATTTTTAGAAGATTTGTGGAGAATAGATATGAGCTAATCGAATTTCTCCTGACCAATGAAATACTGTACTCTGTCAAGTGCACTAGGGATTTTATCATCAAGAGTTATAGAATTTGCAAAAGGTAGTAATCCCTAACTGGGGGAAAAGTTAGGTAATATGATGTCTCTGCTATTCAGAACATAAAGAAAAATAGTACTGGCAAAAAGGTTAATAACTCAAAGCTCTTACCCAGCTGTGAAAAAAACCTCTAAACCTGCAAATGTATATCTTAAGTCAGTTTTGCTCAGTATCTTCCATTAAACTGAAGGTTAAGGAAAGACTGAGGAACGCTTGTATGTATCCTGGATTGACTTTTCATCAGGAAGCTGAGTTATCCAGGTCACTTAAAACATGGAGAGAGTTCCCAACCTCTTTAATAATTTGGCCAAAGATAGTAGCTGACAGTAACTAATAAGGAACTGTTACAAAACCTTTCTTATAATGGAAGTACAGCAAGACTGTTGAATATGCTTTAAAATATTAAAAGCTTTCCTTAGGTAGCAGTTATGGCCGTTTCAATTTGTATGGAAATATGCTTAATGTGGGACTTTTATGTAAAGAATTATTATGTACACAAATTTAAAGGATTTAGTATCTGCTAAATCAGTACCATAATTAAATTTTGGATCTGAACTTCTATGATTGAAGAGGAGCAGGGAGCAGCATCTTCTTCCTGCATCATCTGTGTGCCAGTCAGTTCTTCATACAGTCCCACATGTCACTTGTGGAAAATCCCACTCTGACCTTTGTTGAGTTGCTATCTCAGCTCTGTCTGATGTTCTCTGTCATCATCTGATGGTGGAGAATCTTAATGTTCTCAGTGAATGTAACAGATTTCAACATAATCTGTAATCTTGATGATGATCTTTAGATACTTTACAATAGATTCTTATTCAGGATAGGAAGACAGTTGTGATTGTGAAATCCATGGAGTTTTTGCAAGACATGTTTTGAAGAAGGCTGACTAAATCTGTATTGCTGTTATTTCTGCTATTGGTAACAGCAAGGCCACTTATTTAGACTGGGCATTGGAGAAAATTTGAAATATTTATGGCTGATGTGAATTAGAGCTTCCACTAGTGGGACAGTCAAAGTGAGACAGGAAAAATGACAAGGAAGCTCTTAAACTGCTGTGGGAGAGAAATCCTATGAGTGGGTGATTTTTATGCTCATTGGCTCCAAAAGATGCAGCTGAGCAACACAAGGTCTGCAGATAATGAGTGTTTGAAGAAAACTGAATAAATTAAATTTGCAGTTTATTTACTTCTTTCTTTTCTTATAGAAATATACAAAGCTTCAGATGAATGAGCTGGAGATCTTTCCCATTCAGGCAGGATTAAATCTATTTTGTTAGTACAATTCTTCACTTAGTGCAAAATGGGAGCTGGAGATCTTTCCCATTCAGGCAGGATTAAATCTATTTTGTTAGTACAATTCTTCACTTAGTGCAAAATGGGAGCTGGAGATCTTTCCCATTCAGGCAGGATTAAATCTATTTTGTTAGTACAATTCTTCACTTAGTGCAAAATGGGAGAAAAAGCAGATGAAATTGCATCATAAAAGGAAGTTGCATAGCTGGAAGCTTCTAGTAATAATTTTTAATATGGTTTGCAAACAAACTATGTTGAATTGTTGTGCATATTTTCTGGAGAACTTGGGCAGAGATTTGATTACTGCCTACTCAATTACTTCAGTGGTTGGACTATTTCAGCAGCTTCTAACACTTTTGAAAAAGGTAGAGATGCATTTGCTTAACTGTATGTTTCTCCAAGTTTAATTCCTAGTTGGAGCAAATGACAGGCTTGTGATGCAAATTCTTAGTTGTCTAGGCACTGTGGTTTTAAAAGATAAAAGCTGTTTTGTTTCTGTATTGACATATTGTATGTTTTTAGTATACAGGCATGAATAGAAAGCTCAATGCTTCTTTTTAGTTGTCTAGGCACTGTGGTTTTTAAAGATAAAAGCTGTTTTGTGTATGTAGTGACATTGTATGTTTTTAGTATACAGGCATGAATAGAAAGCTCAATCTGAAACAGAGCCTCATAACTTTTGAAGCACCTTATGTTTATTTTGGTCCTAATATGTTATCAATTATTTCCAGTTAATGTTACTGGGGTTTTATTCTGTTGCAAGGCAGCAAGATGTAAGATACCCACAAGAAGCAATGGTCACTGCAGATGTGTCCCAAAGCTAAAGCGTCAGTGCAGCATTTACGTCTGGGCAAGTCAGGGCAGCTGATGGGTGGTAAATTATTAAGTCACAGCAAATATATTTTGTGTCCATGTTACTTGAAATGAAATAGGAGAATTTGTAGAGAAAAAAGGTTAGAAAACATGCTTGTTTAAAAGCAATGCAGGAAGATGCATTTCAAGTTAAATATGATTTCTTGTTCATCCATTTGACCACTGAATTCAATGAAGTAAAACTTTTTATGTGCCCGCTGAGATCTGCCCTATATTGTACTACAGTGTTGGAGAGAATTGAGGTTGCATGTTTTCATTTCTGCCAGTAATCATGAACACAACTTATAAATACCCATAGCAATATCAGAAGGGAAGAGCAAGTGGTGATTTGACAAGAATAAGCTGTGCTTGTTTACGTGTTGCTGAATTGGAGAATAATTGGGCTGCAAGTCTTAACTGTAGCTAAGCTTTATGGTATGTAGTTAGTGCCTTATACAGAGCTCACCAAGAAGCTGAAGTGCTACAAAAATTTAATGCTCTGGACACTGATGATGCTGTGGCCTCACTGGAGAGGACATGTGGAGGACATCATTCAGTGAGGCTACAGAGATGTTGCACTGACTTTTGCTAATAGAAGGCATCTTCTGGCCCTGTTCTCCCAAAGCAGTTCCCTTTTCTCTGTACAATTGGCTTTAGGGGGGATTGAGCCTGTGTGGAAGAGAAGGTGTTTGGCAGTAAGATGGGTTATTATTCAGATTCTTTTCCCAGTCAGCTGTGGGATTGCTTTCCAGGCTGACTTTAGTTTTTACATCCAACTAATAAAGCCATCTCCAAGAAATAGCCTTGGGCAAACAGTTAATCTTGGTTTTTGACCTGGCTACAGGGAAGTAAAGCTGTGAAGGAAAGCTGACTTAGGATTCATTTCATGCTCTAGTGAAGCAGGAGGACTAGAAACTCTAAATTTTAGTTTAAAAACTTGTCCTACTACATGTGTACTGTTTAAGGAAGAGAAATATGGAGAGGCAGAATCTAATTAGTCTCCAGAATTAATTGGAAGACTTGAATAGGAAGCCTGGAATTCATTGTCTGTCAAATGACCTCATTAAAACAATGAGTCACACCACCAAAGCAGAGAGGTGAAATGATTTCCTCCCCTTTCCTGAATTATCATTTCACCTTTGTTTTTTGCCTTTATTTTTTGCCTAAGGCTGAATATAGATGAGTTCAAATGAGCTATGGATTTAGTCTCTCATTAAAATTTGCCTTTAGAATTAGAGATGTCTTCTAGAAACAATGATTTAGTATTACAAATTAAAAAGATTCTTAATACTTGTTATAAGGGTGCCTCCTTACAGAAAATTTGTAAAAAAGAATTTTAACTAAATCTGCATACATTTTTACACTTTCTAAAAACTTTTTTATTTTATCATTTTATTTTATTTTATTTACCAAGGCACAAAGTGCTGGTGTGAGATTTTTCTTGTATTAGAAGTACATGTAGCTTGTGTATTCCTAGCTATAAGCCTTCAAGGAATAATGAATTATTCTTGGTTTTTAACTCCATGAATTAAATCAATATATATAGGTAAATAATTCAACCTGTGCTACAGAAGTGCTTTTAGCATAGATTAGTCCATGATCTGCTTTCAAACATCTGATGCTAAATTTCAGCTTATCTTGTTATGGGGGATTTCAGTAAAATGCTCTGTGTACAATGATTTTTGTGTACAAAGTAGAGACAGATGTGGATATTAAGTCTTGACTCAAATGGCCACAAGGAACCAGCAATTTTTGAGCAATGGCTTAAGAAAATAAAATGGGTATTGCTGACATAAACCTGAGCTGGTTAGTTATAAAGTGAAGGTTTACTGAAATGCTGTGAAGTCTCCTTTCCTGTCGCCATGAGGGAAAATGTGCATCTTTTCTAGAACACTGATTTTTCTTCATGGAGAAGGAAAAGCAAAGCAAAAAAGGCACAAGCACCAGAGCACAACTGTGTTGCTAGCAGCCAGCTCCATGTGAGTGTCAGATGCAAAGTGATACTTAAATCAGAAATGTGCTGAACCAGTGCTGTGGTTTGGGTGTCTATGGGAAGTGCACAACAATGCTACTGTATTATGCAAAATGTCTGCCACATGCAAAATGCTCTTGTTGGGTTTTACTCTTTGGTACTGCAGACCCTTATTTCAAGGAAAAAAAAAAAGTTCCTGGGGGATAAAGCCTTTAAAATTATTATATATACTTCTTCAAATGAATGCCTTCTCTGCCTTAAGAGTAGTTGCAGTTGCTTCAGATCTCTTTCAGGGGCTTGACCCTACAGTTTGGTTTATTTTGGCAGCATTAAGAAGGTTCTGGGTAGTGTTAAACTGAAAACCTCAAGCACGTATCTTGTTGTGCAAAAGAAGGCGCTTGTGATAGCTCTTCAAAATTAAGGGGAGGAATTAATCTCTTTTGCTATAATTTCATATTAAAAAGCAACTGACCCTTGGCTACATTTGGTATCTAAGGGAAACTTGCTCCAGACTCTACTGAGCTGTAGGAGAATGGGCAGAGGAATGGCAGGGTGGGATACCTCTAATGACTACAGAGTACCATAGGTGTTCCTGTGCACTCTGCAGATGTCCCTTCCCATGAGGCTCTTACTTCTGTAAGCTGATGGAGAGTTTGCAGATGCATTGTCTTCTTGTAGAGTATTTGTGACTTGAACAGACAATTTTAAAAGTTTTTCTAAGGGAATAACTGCATTTCAGCCCATTCTTCTCCAAAGCTGTCTTAATCTGATGGGACTATAATTTTTTGGGGATTTTTAATAGAAAGACTTGTTGACAGGCAATACAAGTGACATTAATCCCAAGTAAGAATCTTTTAAGGTCACGTTAGGGAGTTTATTTCTCTAATGATTGTACTGAAGGGCTTTATGTAAGTTTGATCGTAAAAAATCCTAAAGTGTGTTTATGTGTTTCAAGCAGCACCATGCGATATAGTTTTGCATTATCTAACAGATCCTTACAGTGATGATATGTTGACACAGAACTAATGCAAAATTTGTTGAAAGCTGTGAATTTTTAGAGTAAGCATGTCTTTCTCCTTCTGATTTTTTTAGTGGAGAAGTACTGGACTGTGACAAGTATAAAGTTTATACTGTTCCAGTGGCTTGTGCCTTTGTGAAGTAAGACAGCCTCAAGAGGATGGAGGGAGAGGATTTGGGGGTCTTAAGAAACCTATTTTTGTGATCATCTGATTAGGCTGTCCAGATGGGAAGCATGATATTGATATGCACAGATGTATTCCTGAAGTGGCCTTGGCTTAGTTCAGGGTGGAGACCCCACTGTTGTGTAGCTGCTCTGCCTTTGCTGCCGTGCATTGCAGCCACAGGTAGTGTGGGTGCAACAATAACCATGGTGCAACTGTACATGCAGTTCACTGTAGACGTGCATAGTCTGTCAGGAAAGGAGATTGGTTTGTTGGGACCATGGTGCCAATCAGAAAAACCCAACATATTTCTTAATTTAAAATACACATTTATGCAGACTTTCCTTGAACAAAGTGTAACATCTTGTAATACATGTTTCCATGTGACCTTTTTTGAAAGTTATTGTGTTGTCATTTAAGTGGTGACTTTGTTCACTGGAATTTTCAACTTCAAGCATTCATCTAGGAAATCATGCTTTTAGTTGTTTCATAGAATTATAGAATGGTTTGGGTTGGAAGGGACCTTAAAGATCATCTAGTTTGACTGCCAAGGGCTGGGACACCATCCTTTGACGAGCTCAAAGCCCTGTCCAACCCGGCTTTTCATATCAACCTAACTGAGTAATTACATTCCATGTTTACAGCTAGCTGATTACATAAGAGCCTTATTGTAGGTTCAAACACAGTACTGTGGGTAAACATTATTTTCCCAATGTGACAGTAAGGAGGCTATGTGGCTTTTAATGCACCTGCAAGAAACTCTGTACCAAAAGAGTTTCAGAGAATGATGCAGATCTGCAAGCTTCTGTTCCTCACACAGTTTAAAAAGAGGAAATCTGCTGAAACTGGGGAAAATATCACTGTGAATAAAGGCCTGGTCCATGAATTCATTTGTTGTGGTTTGGGTTTTTTGGTTTTGCGGGGGTGGTTTGGCATTTGTTTGTTTTCAAAGTAGTGTCATTCACTTAGTTCTGCAACCAGTTTAACCCGTGATAAACCAGTGGTGCTACCTCTGAGTCCTCATTCCTGCCTTGCCTTGACACAAGTGTTAGTGTGGGCTGGGTGGTGGGCTTGGTCAGAGAACTGAGCCAGCTTGGAAAGTAGCAGGGCAAGAGGAGAAACAGCTGAGATTTTTAGCCAGATCAGCTTTCTTGTACAGCTCAGGATTCAGCCAACCAAAATACTAGTTCCAGCATGGAGAGTGGCAAGAGAAACACCTCTTTTGGCATGAGTGCTGGTTTCTGTGCAGGCTTCAGCTGTGGAAGTCTGCTTTGACTGCTTGCATTGTATCCAGCCATAGGTTTTGCTTCATTCAGTAGCTGGTGTAAGGCCCTGTGCAGTAAAAGCCTGAAAGATGGGTTATAACTGAGCTGGCACAATCACAAGGAAAAGCTCATTGTTCACACTTCTGCTCGATGGGAAGGATGTGTATAAGGTTCCTGGCAATCAGGTCAGGGAAATTCCAGCTTAGCAATAAAACCTTATATAAAAATGTGTAGTTTGTATTAAAAAAAAAAAATGATTGTAGTATTATGGGATCATTAAAATTGCTCATATTTTCTGTTTTTTTCCTAGGAATTTATCAAAGAGCTGCTAACTCGGATAAGAGGAATGAGGAAACTCAGTCCCCCTCAAAAGAAGAGTATATAAATAACTCAAAGTAATAGCACTCTGTAAAAGACATGGCAAGGGAAATGGGACTTTGAATACAAGACCTTTATTAAAATAATTGTCTTTCTCCACAACTTTTTTGATTTTATTCAGTTTTGACTCAAGGAATTTTTTTGGTGTGTTTTAAGGGTTCTTTTTTAAGTGTCAATTATTTTTTATCAAAAATATCAACAATTTGGATGCTGCTCAACTTTCACCTGAGGATTACTGAAGCAAGTGAAGAATCCAAGAGTTAGAGATGAGGGGCAGCAAGCCTATGGGGTGAACCAGAAGATCTTGTAAATTTACAGAGCTAGGAGACTTCTCCTTGCAACTAGTTGGATAACGTTTCTTAAGTTGGTTGTACATTTAACTCATGGATGTCAAGTTTCTTGTGCTTGTCTGTACATAAATTTTAAAGTGGGTTGTGAATACTGTTTCACATGGATGGAAGGAGAAGTTTGTCATAGTAAATTATTTAAATGGTGGTTATTGAAAATTTGCTATCAAAAGGTACCAATTTAGATTACTAAAACAAATGCTGCCATTTTTCTAAATACCCTTAAAGCAGCCCAGTGAAGAATCTCATCATATCTCCTTGTCTAGACTACAGCATATGAAAATTGGGAATTTTAAGGGCTTAATTTCTACACTTAAAAGTTATTTGATTGACTTTGATGCTTTGCCAGGATCACTTCCTCTCCACCTCATGGTGTCTTGGAGCTGTGCTAACCTGTACTGAATATGGGTCTGGAGTGATATCTAGAGAAATGTCCATGAGCATTTAAAAGCTGGTTCATGCTGGAGGAAAGGCAGTGATACCAAAATGAATTACAAGTACTGTATTGCATTTAATGATGTGGTCTTAATCAAATGCAGATTCCTCTCCTATAAAGGTAGGCAAAAAGTAATACAGCCTTTGTTTATGGCTCTGCCCTGAGAAGTGGGAGACTTCTTAACTTGGGCTCTCTTACTTGTAAGAGCAAGGGCGGACATCCCTGCTCCCTTCTGGAAAATGTCCTAACTAGAATGTTTGATAAGCTACCATTCACTGGTAGGTGACATTAGTCAGGCATTTTATATCAAGGGTGCTCTGAACATATTTTATTTTTCAAAAGAAGTACATGTTTGTGAATTTTATGTATACTGGCAAGCTTTTTTAATGTATTTAATTTTGTAATGTTTACTGATGATTTTATTTACCAGATATTTACTCAAATAAATGGAACTTGTGACTTGTTACATGTACACTTTACAAGACTACTGTTGCTGAGTAGGTTTGTAAATGGAATTGCTTGTCAAAAAGAGAAGCCTGTAAGGTGGTAAGTACATGGGAACTCAGCTGTATTGACCCGAATGGCTTTTAATGTACTCGGTATCTCTCACACTCCTGTAACCTGGTGCACAGTTTCGCTTTTGAAAGTCTTCTCCAGATGAGGCCTTTCTTCCCTGTGCCCTAGGGAATTTAAAAAAGGGTAAGGAAACAAAGCTTGGAAATTCTTTCAGATAAATGCTGATAAATGCAGATTTCTTTTTGTCCACCAAAGACGGACTGTAGGGGAAGGCTTACACTGGGTAGCTCTCAGTTTCCTAGTGAAGGTGTGGCAGAAGGGGATCTTTCAGATCTACCTTTCTTCCTTTAGGCACCTTTTTGGATCCTCAAGAAATTCCAGTATCCCTGAGAAAAGTCTCACCTGCAGCACTTTAAATTTAAATCTGGTATCTTGCTGAGGTTGCAATTTATCTCTGGTTTAGAATTGGTGGAAATTCTCATGTTCAGAGTTTTGAGATGGAGTCTGAAACAATCCACACTTTGAACAATAAGGGTTCTAACAATTTTCCCATTCACAGATGCATTTTGTGACTTCACTGACAATTTCAATTATAACCTTTTTTTCCTTTATAATAATGCTGTGTCAAATCAGATGTCAATTAATGGCAACTGTACCAGTTCTCTCATTACCTACAACAAAAAATACTATCCACAAATATTTTTTATTTCATGTTTTTTGACTAAAAGCTGCCCACCCAACTGTACTCATGACATATTTGTGTCTTTTATCCTATTCATCTTGCACTGAGTAGCTGTGGAAAGTAGCAGTGTACCCCTTCTAAAACTAAGAGGTTTGGTGGTACACTTAGAAATGGTGAAGACTGGGACAGTCCTTACTGTTTTGTTGTCTCCTGGAGATGGGCTAAGTCACTTCTGAGAAGAGTTTCCTCCAGCACCACAGGTTTTGCTGTCTTAGAAGAGAGTAAAACCAAGCTGTAAATAGCTTTTGTTTGCAGCTGACCTGATTTTCCTGGGGACTTACAGGGTCTCATTCTTGCTAATTTTTACTTAATGGAGCTACTCTTGGCCTTGGTGTTAGTGAGGGGCAATTGACCCATTCACTAAAAATTTAATTGTGCTTTGTGTCTTTATACTGTGTGGGTGTTCTTGGCTCTGGGGCAATATTCAAGGAGCATATAAATAGCACAGTTACTGAAACAACTTGAAATGAAATCTTACAGCCCAGTCTCTTTATGGTCTTGGCTGGACAGCTTTCATGAGAAGGGCCAAGTTGCTGCAATGAGAGCTTCCTCTGGGCTTTTTAAGTGGCTAATGAAAGAAACTGAAGTTCCTTCTTATAAATACAAAGTGAAGCTGAGGTTTTTGTTTTGGAATTGAAGTGCCTTTGCAGTGTTAAAAAATTGCCTTCAAGAGCATGTGTTTCTGGACTCTGCTTCATGGCATAATTAGCTTTTGCATGTTTTACAGCAGGACCTGACAGCTGGCTTAGAAAGGAAAGCAAAGTGCTTGTGTAATCATACTTAGGGTGCCTCAGGAGGCTGCAGTGACAGGGTGGTGTATTCAGTGGTACAGAAGAAAGGACATGAACCATTTGCCTGCCAGCCTTATTTTAGTTCCTTCCCCCCAACCCCAACAGGGTTTTGCTCCTGAAGTTGCCATTCATGCAGGGAACATCGTGCAGAATGATGTTCTCTATTATCAGAGAATATGGCTAAGAAAAGCAGGAGCAAAATATCTGCCCTGTTTGTGCACTTGAAACTCTTTGACACAGAGTCTTAGTAAGAATTTTTAGTGCTTTATGCTGGTAGGTAAAATAGCATATGTGAAATTGAAATTACTCAGCAATTTATTTCTAAATGGCTTTTCAGAGTCAAGACAGTCTTAATGTAAACATGCAGCTCCAGGGTAAAAAAAAAAATGCCAGCCACATCAACAGAAGACCTATTTGAGTGGGAGCTAGAAGAAAATGCAGGTCTTATTCTGAACAAGCAGCTGAACAGAAAACTCTGAAGTGCTGTAACAAAAGGAAATTTGCTTCCTGGCTGCCTAAGATTTGTCATTGTATACTGCAGATTGTATACAGGTACTGAGTAACCACATGCAATACTTTTCAAAAGGTGTTGAGGTTTAGGGAGGAAGCCAGAAAAGAAAGCGGCTGTCGGGAAGTTCAGGAAAAAACATCACTAAGAAAATTTCCTGTTAGGAAAACAGAAGAGTCTTGTGTTACTGCATATATTTCTGTATGGAAAGAAAATGAGAGGTGTCAATGCTTTCGTGTATTGGAGAAAACCGTGAAGAGGAGAAATACCTGGAAGATAAAGGAAGGAATCTTGATGTGTTGAAGAAGATACAGCATCCTGATGGTGATGACCCCTTTGAGCTTGCTACTGTGGGAATAGGTGAGATTGACAACTATTGGTATCTCCAAATTGAAACTGGATGCTTTTCTAGATAAGTTGTCATTGGACGAGTTACTCAGTTTCAGTCAAGGTAATCAAAGGCCTTAAAACTCTAGACTTCTGCTTCATTGGGTTTTGTTTGTTGTTTTTTCTGTGATTGTTTTTGGTTTTGGGTTTTTTGTTTTGTTTTGCTTCTTGGTTGGTTCTAGATTTTTGTTAAAGCAGAAAAAACTAAAAGGAAATTGATTTCTATGTGTTATGGCAATGTAATGACGTGCTTATGCAGATTACTAATACTAGCTACATATTTTATATATAACTCCATTACTTTTTACTTGAATTTCATGGTACAACTTTTTTTTTTTCTGGAAATAAGCAAATAGGAATTGTGAATGTAATTAAAGTTACTGTTGAAAGCTGGAGAGAAATTGAAGTGAAGAAGAAAAAATGTGACAAGTGCTTAGTGCAGTAAATTTTATTTTTGCCTCTGGAAGATTCTGTCATCAGTGTGTAAATAGAGTATTTCTGAAGTTTTGAAATTGCCATTTGTAATAATCTATCCTAGAGCTGATGGGGTTTTATTCGTTTTGTGTATTTTTTGGTGGAAGTAATGGCCAAATTCTATGAACTTAACAGTTTACTATGAACTTAACTGTTTACTGACTTCTGTGTTTTCCAATAAAAACTGGCATCAGTTGTTTAAGAAACTAAGCTATTTTAAAAATTATCCTAAAAAATGTGTATAAGACTGAAAATTGTTTTGGAGGTGCAGCTAACAGGTTTTGTTTGGTAGTAAACTCAGAGGTCTTATTGAATTGGTATTTTAGGTAAACTTTTTACCTTCTAAGATCAAAATCAAAAATATCCTGTGGTAGCCCCTAGCAGAGGTTTTGGTCTGCCTAACTGTATATTACTGGGTTGGACTTGAAGCCCATAATTACTTGGCAAAAAATGTAGCAGCTGATCCCCTTCAAGGACAGAGACTTGTTTTACCACCCCTTCTAGGGGCAAAGGGGATGAGAGTACAAAAGGTTTTTCTGCCTTCCTAAAGGAGGATCCTACAATCAGTGTCAGCAAGGCTTGGCTCTTGCAACAGTTTTGTACCCAGATTCTGCCACTGTCCCCAATGAACTGCATGTTTTCTGCTCTGTCTTTCCAGACTTAATTTCAAGCCTGCCAAAGCAATAGTTACTAAGTCAGTTTTGGTGCCCATTGTCTCCTGTACCTCATGGTGTGTTTGCAACAGTCTGCATTATTTTCCCCTGTTCCTTCAAGTTTAACAGCTCAATTATTTCTCTTAGGGATCGTTTACTACTATATGGAAATGGAAATGTGTAATGGTGCTATTTCTGCCACAGTGTTTCTGCTGTCAGTACCAAGTCAATCCAAAAGACTAGAAAGGATGCCATAAATTTTAGTGTCTTCTGATTTATGGCCTCATACTGCTGGAGTTTACTCACTTTTTGCATTATTTCTTTATTTCCTTGAGTAAGTTTTTATCAGTGTGTGCATGCAACTCAGCCACAGGCTATAGGAAGAGAACAAGGCTCCTAGAAGTAATCAGTTTCACACGTTCTGAGAAAGAAATATAAATGTCGTTTTTATTTTTTTCCCCCCCAAATATCTGGAAGATGTATTTGCAATGCCACAGGAATGTTCTTGTTTAGAAACCTCGGGGTGTAGTGTAAATGATGAAACAAGGGCTAAGTGGTGGCAGACACAAAAACTCACCAAATGGACACGTTCCTTGTGTCCTTTAGCAAAAGGAAAAATAAACCCACATTCATGTCTCCTGAGCTCAGTGTTTGTGAGAGACTAACCTGCTTCTCTTGGGCTCTGCTGGGCTTTGTGCTGGTCCAGGCAGGGATTCTGTGGTGGTGAGTGCTGGTCCTTGAACAATACTGCAGATAGGAGCACATTTCTGTGATTGCAGATCAGCTAAATTGCTGCATCCTGAATCCAGTGTTTGGGCTGTTAAAGCCAGTGTTCCAGGCAGTGTGGGTAGGATGTGTCATCACCCTTTTCCATTTTGCAGTCACTTGTGATGTGTACAGTCTCTGTTGTTACTGCCACTAAGGAATACTGCAGTTCTTCAGGCATTAAATTAGGAAAGAGCATGTTTTCATTTGGAAGGTGCAGTAGTTTGTTACCAGCCCACACATACCAATAATTTTGTTCCTCTGATGTAGGTACCTAAAAAACCTGCCTTTCAAATAGGTATAGCTGTAAATACACTGCTGCCAACTGGCAGTGTCTGGTTTTAAGAGAAAATGAAGCTGTTCAATGTTCTTTTTTCTGAACTAATTTAATTTATGCATGCTAAACTCCAGTTAACTTTTTAATACAGGTTTCATAGTCATAAGAACAACTATAGCACCTTTGGGGAATTTTTCTGGTGCTGGTTTAGACTTAGAACCAGGCAAAAAATGATCTGATATTGGAAAAAGGATATAACTTGTTTGTAAGACTCCTTTCTTTGGAGTTGTCTCAAAGGTGTTTCTGTTTCCATATCAACAATATATCAGTAGTGCTTGTTTTATAATGATAAATCCTTAGAATTGTAATAATTTACCTCATGTGTTGGCTCTTTCTTTTGTCCTCTGATGTGCCTTGGCCAAGAGCTGATACTTAAAGTATTGATTATTTCTTCATCTATGAAGCTGTATGTTCAGCTCAGCACTTAATCAGTCTAAGGCTGGGGTTTTTGTGCTTGGCACAAGGACAATGTGTTTAAAAATATGTCAGCTTCTCAAAATTTAATGCTTTAATGTCTGGGTTGAGTGAAGTGATAATTGTTTAACATTTTCCTCTCTTGGTTACTTTTGAAATCTGAAAAACCAGAGTGCTTCCTGAAATTAGCATGATTTTTTCAGTTCTAATCTTGTTAGCCGCTTCCTAATTAATTTAGTACTTGTATTTCTTACAGTTTTTATTTATAGTAGCATTTAGTATCTCCTCTAACAACTTTTCACCCTCCCTCAGAATCCTCCTCTTCTGCTCTCAGCCCTGTGCAACAGAAATTCAGGTATGTAAAATTATGCCACATCTGCAGCACCAGCACAGATAACTAGGCAGGAATTCAAGAGAGATCAAATAAATCAGACTAACCCACCGTATTGCTGTGTTCTCTTTGCTGGAGAGTTAGGTTATCGTGCCCAGCCCACTCCTGAATTTCACATCTTCTCCTTCTCACACGAGCAGACTCTTCCCTAGGAGAGTGTGTTTATTTTAGTCGTTTAAGCACCCAAAATAAAGCACTTAAAACTCCGGGATTTGGTTCAAAAATCTCAGATGGAACTAATTTTTGAGGTTTTTAAAAAAAAAAAATTTGGGGCTGTCCTTTGTATGCAAGCACTCAGTCTTGTTAATTAGAAATTGTGGAGCAACTGCAGGGGAGCAGGGACCCCAGATCAAACAGCAGGCATGGAATATGCTGCCCTTTCACTTCTTTCAAAGTTCCCTCAGTGTCTGAACCTTGCTCGTCTCAAATGCTCAGGAATTATAAGCCAAGTAAAACAGGCACTCTGAGGCTGGAGTCCTGAATCTTTTATAATGCTTTGATTGTTTCTTGAGTTGCTTTCTCAGGGACCACTTGTAATTTGTTCATACTGTTGATGGGGGACTGAAACTTCCTTTCCCAACTCCAGGAACAGAAATCCTCAGAAAGATGCTGGGCTTGTGATAAAAGCATTAAAGTCAGAGACAATAGGGAAATAACATCTGTACATGCTGGAGCTGACCTCACTCTTGATCTGCTACAGTGCCCTTTTGGATGCATCTCATGTAGCCCATGGAGCTCTCCCTGTGCTGGTAGAAGCTCAGGCCTGCTCATGCACAAAACCCTATGAGGCAGACAAGCTAGGTAAATTAAAATATGCTGCTGTTACTTGGCATTAGATGTGGTTTACTCTTTATCCATTTCAATGCAGGCTACCCATTTCATTAGCTGGAAAGCAACCTGCCTTTAAAGTAGGTTGGTGATGGAGGCTTTTATATATCATTTCATCCCTGCTTTACTGCAGTATACAGGGACCTTGGTGGAAAAAAGCAGTTTTTCAGTGAGTACTAGAAACAACCAGCTCTCTCTTTTTGGTATAAATAGTTGAACGGACAGAGAGAAGCAAGCTCATTTTTAATGTGTTTAGATTAAAAGTGAGTTGCAGTGGAGCCTAGCTAACACCCCAAGCAATTATACTTCCAAATTTTGCCCTTTGGGGACAGAAGAAGGCTGTCAAATGCTGGGCTCCCTGCAAATAAAAAAAGTCTTTTGAGTTCTCTTCATTTTTAAAAGGGTCACTTACTGAGAGCAAACAGCTCTAATAAATGAATGGTAGCTGGTGCTCAAAACTTGGCAGAAGGTTTCAGAGCTGTGTAATGGCATTTGGGAGATGGATACACAGCTTTCTATGCCACGTTTGTAGGGAGCTCCATAGGGGGAGCAAACTGAAATGACAACATTTTCATTATATCCTTTTTCTGTAAATGACAGAAATTTAAGTGTGGGGTTCAGTTATCCACAGATCTTTCCCTGATGATCTGGGAATGCAGTAGTGCTGAGGGAAACAGATAACCAGCTCTTAGACATAGCAAATGATTGAGCTCTTGTATTTAAAGACCACAAAATACTTTCCTCCTTATTTGTTGGCATTAATTAAACAGAATTTAGTTATTTACTTCATCTATTATTCTGGTGCCTGCTGACCTGGTCAAGACTGAGATTTCTGCCCCATCCATCCCGTTCCAACCTAAAAATCTCCTACTGTCTGCCATGTTGTCATCTGTCTCCTGTGTTGCAGATCTTGGAGAAGTGTTTTCCACAAGACAATTGTAAAATTGTAATTTTGCATTAACCCACTGCCATGAAACTGGATGTTAATTCCTACTGCTTGCATTATCCCTGCATGGATCATGACAGTGTGCTATCCATCACCTCTTAGGGAAAAGAAAGACTCCAGTGAGCACAGCCTGCCGACTGGCTTCAGCTGGGGCTCAGATAAAACACACAGATTCTCACAAGCTCACACCTAAAGTGGTGTCAGCAAGGCCGTGGCTGAAAGCCTGGCATAGGTGATGCTCCCACCTGCAGATGTCAGGTGGGTCTGTCAGCAGCAGTGTCAGGAGCAAGGAGCTCTTCCTCTCCTCCTCACAGAGCTCTTGACAGTCAATGTGCCAAAAGCTTTGTGTAAGACAGTCTGCTGCCCTTAGGAAAACAAACATGTGAACTCTTCTGTATTTAATTAGATGGCATTGTCAAAACAGGTTGCGATCAATCTCTTTGAAGGAAGGAAAGGAAATCCCAGTGCCCCTCAAACTTCAATGGTAGTTCTTCTCAGGACCAACATCTAATGGTATAGCTGTATTTTTCCTTCCTTATTCCCTGATTTCTAGTTCTCTAAAGGAGTGGAGTTGGTCCTTTCAGCAGCTGATATGTCAAAAGCATTCAGGAGGAAACTACAGGAAGCTGGCAGTGACTTGGAAAAATGAGGCAAATCTGCAGGGACTCTCTTGGCTGATTCAGTGGCTTTCTAACATCTTTCCCTTCCAGCTGGACCTGCCTCCTGGTAGGAAAGGCCCCGTCTAGGCTGAGCACATCAGAGACAGCACGCTGACCTCTTTAATTTCTGAGGATTAATGAGGTTTTACTGCTTAAGGTAAACACCCAAATTAGTGCTGAGAAGCTTTGCTCACATTTCTCTATCTTTT